CTCTCTGGAAGGAAATGGGAGAACTAGCTACCCTGGCTTTGGAGAAGGCTGAGGTTCTCAATGATTTCTTTGCCTGAGTCTTCACCGGCAAGTGAAGGAACTGGTGGATCAAGTTGCTAAGCCACTGTCCATCATATTTGAAAAATTACAGCAGTCAGGTGAAGTTCCCAATGACTGGAAAAAGGGAGATATACCTGCCATATTCAAGAATGGGAGAATGGAAGACCCAGGGAACTACAGACCAGTCAGTCTCAACTCTGTACCTAGCAGAATCATGGAGGAGATTCTCCTGGAAATCATGCAAAGGCACATGAAAAACAACGAGGTGGTTGGTGACAGCCAGTATGGCTTCACTAGGGGAAATCCTGTCTGACCAATTTGGTGGCCTTCTATGATGGGGCTGCAGAACTGATGGACAGGGGCAGAGCAGTTGACATCATCTACCTGGACTTCTGCAAAGCGTTTGATGCTGTCCCACACAACATCCTTTTCTCTAAATTGGAGAGACATCAATTTGATGGATGGACCACCTGGTGGATAAAGAATTGGCTGGATGGCCACACGCAGATAGTTGCAGTCAATGGCTCAATGTCCAACTGGAGATGGGTAGCAAGTGGTGTCCCTCAGGGTTTAGTGTTGGGACCGGTCTTGTTCAACATGTTTGTTGGTGACATGGACAGTGGGATTGAGGCACCCTCAGCAAGGGGCCAATGCCAACCTCATGAAGTTCAACCAAGTCCAGTGCAAGGTCCTACACCAGGGTCAGGGCAATCCCAATCACAGCTACAGGTTGGGCAGGAGTATCATGATTTGGCTGTATGAATTATCTTGCTGATTATTCCAGCTGATGATGCCTTTTGTCTTTCTGTTGACCTGACCAAGGAAAGTGTATGGCTTCCAGAAACTTTTCCTCACTTCTCATGCACAAAGGTTCCTGATGTGAACAGGGAGGTTGCTGGATCCTCAGTTCCTATTGTTACTCTGTAAGTCTGCACGTTGGCATAATTTGCTAATACATACCCTAAAATACAGTAAATATCCTTTTGTGTCTTGTCATTCTTATGTATAAAATACTTGTAAGTTCTTTGTATAAAACAGGAAGCCCATCCTGTAGTAATAACTAATAACACTAAATAACAGATTGAAGCTTTTTTGGTTAGTAATCTAGTTCTTCCTATAAAGAAGGCTGGCAGTAAAAATATCGTCAAATAGTGGGTGACCATTTTACCTGTCAAGAATTTAAAAGAGGGTTTCTTGTGTAATACTGCTTCATTTCCATGGCTTGAAGAAGAGTGTGTGGGAGGAAGAGCTTGCCCATATGTACTGCTGCTTCCAAATGCTGTTGTAGGAAAGTGCTTACTAAAAAGGGAGGGGGAACCCAGATGTTGTAGCAAGAGACCTGGAATTTAGGAATGTCGTGGTTTAAGCCCAGCCAGCAACTCGGAACCACAGAGCTGCTCGTTCACTCCCCCCGCTTCTTCCACCCCCCGCTCCTGGAGGGATGGGGAGGAGAATCAGAAGAATGTAACTCCCATGGGTTGAGGTAAGAGCAGTCCAGTAACTAAGGTATAATACAAACCACTACTGCTACCAATAATAATGATAAGGGAAATAGCAAGGGGAGAGGACACAACCGCTCACCACCCACTGACTGATACCCAGCCCAACCTGAGCAGCGATCTGGGCCTTCCGGGTAACTCCCCCCAGTTTCTATACTGGGCATGACGTGCTGTGGTATGGAATAGCCCTTTGGCCAGTTTGGGTCAGGTGTCCTGTCTCTGCTTCCTCCTGGCTTCCCCTCCTCCCTGGCAGAGCATGAGACTGAGAAAGTCCTTGGTCAGCGTAAACATTACTTACCAACAACTAAAAACATCGGTGTTATCAGCGTTGTTCCCAGACTGAAAGTCAAAACCACAGCACTGCACCAGCTACTAAGAAGGAGAAAAAACGACTGCTGTAGCTGAACCCAGGGCAAGGAGTTATTCAGAGGATCCATCTGTGGTCTGAGCATTAAGATCTCTGCTCTGTTCTGGTGCAGTTTACTTTCTATGAGTCTTGACTCTTATGAGCGAGGACTTGACATAATGCCCAGAGTGCCAGTCCTTTCTGGGTGTCATGGTGACTACAGCGCAGAGCTGTCCCTGGGGATTAGTAACTCCTTAGTAAGGATAGCTCAATGTAGTAACCCAGAGGACATAATTAAAACTCTCCACATGAATCACTTCAATGCCTTTTACATATAGTTAAGCTTTAGAAATACACTGCAGTGTTTCTTACGGCTACAAAGTAAGATTTTTGAAACTAAGCCAAAGAAACTCTGTTAAATGAGCATTTATTTTTCATTAAGAACATGCGGTGTGAAGTTCATTTGAATGAATTGTCCTATAGTTGCTTCATATTTGATAATGGGATTTTTTGAAATAAAAATTTCTGCATTTTTATTTTTCATGATTATTTTGCGTAATTCTTGTAGGTCCCCTTTAGGTACTAGAAGGTCTACTATAAGGTCTCCCTGGAGTCTTCTCTTGTTCAGCCTGGAGAAGCAGCTTCCAGTGCCTAAAAGGGTCAACAAGAAAGCTGGAGAGGGTCTTTGGACAAGGGCTTGTAGGGACACGACAAGGGGGAATGGCTTTAACCTGACAGAGGGGAGACTGAGATGAGATCTTAGGCAGCAGCTCTTCCCTGTGAGGGTTCTGAGGTGCTGGCACAGGTTGCCCAGAGAAGCTGTGGCTGCCTCATCCCTGGCAGTGTTCAAGGCCAGGCTGGACGGGGCTTGGAGCAACCTGCTCTAGTGGAAGGTGTCCCCGGCCATGGCAGAGGGTTGGAACTGGATGAACTTTAAGGTCCCTTCCAACGCAAACCAGTCTGTGATTCCTGTTCTATGATACTGTGATTTATTTTGGTCATAATATATTTTTTGGCCTGTTGTGGGAAAATAAAACCCTAACAACATTCAGCATAGGTTTGTAAGTCCATACTTCCATGCACATACTTGTCCTGATCTGTAGTCAGCTCCTAGAGTCTGTCATTTTGAGGTTTCATTTGATAATCACCTAGCTGTATCCTAATTCTGCTGGCTGCTCCATGCCCCATGGACTTGGCTGGTAGGACAGTCAGAAGCAGTAATAGTTGTCAAAACTTTGCTCTTGCTATCCAAGGAGTTGTTAAAGGCCTGAAAGGTGTAACAAGCTATCATTGAAAGACTCAGCTCTGTTTTTGAATACTTCCGTATTTTCAGTGTGGGCCTGATCAGCCATTATTGATGCATAAAATAAATATGAGAGAAATTATTCCAATCTTCCATCAATGCACGGGCAAAACATTTTTCCAATCTGTCTTTCAAGAGCATAGCAATCTCCTAAGCGAACAAACCCTGCTTAAACATCTGTATTTCATCATTAATCTCAGGACCTAAGCTTCTGGCAATTAAATATTACTAGTGTACTGCTGTTTTTTAGTCTGATCCCAATAAAAAAATGTTTACTTGCAAAATTTTTGTACCTAGTCAGATTGCTGTTACGGGGAAGAAATCAAATTGGTAATAAGCTAAGTCAAGAGCATACTTTAATTGTTAACCACTGAAAGCAGCAGTGCCTAAAGAAATCAGCTCAAATGAGGTATTTTATTAAAGATTCATAGAATCATAGAATGGTTTGGGTTGGAAGGGACCTTAAGATCATCTAGTTCCAACCACCCTGCCATAGGCAGGGACACCTTTTACTCACTAAAGATACAGGAGCTATGTTATAGGGTCTGTTAGTGCATCTCATCACGTGGTCCTGGACTGCTGGAGATTCTGGCAGTGGTGCCCATGGACACCTGAGAGCTCTGTGGGTGCTGGCTCTGAGCAGACTAACAAGCTATTATCAGTATTAGCTCTGACAAGAGCTGCCAAGGTTCACTTCTATCCTAGGCAACATGGGCGTTTGCTCTAATGGTTGTGAGGTTCACATATGGGGCACACATTTGGCCTGGTTGTCTAAACAGGGTGACAACCAAGATGTTGAGATAGAAGATACAAGAACTACTCCAATTTTGGACCAGGTCATTGCTATACTGTGATCAAAATCATAGTCCTGTCTTGTGCTTGGTAAGAAAGTACACCATTGGTTTGATAATGTGAAGAAAAGGAAGGCCCAGAGAGGTTGTGCGCCCAGAGAAGCTGTGGCTGCCCCATCCCTGGCAGTGTTCAAGGCCAGGTTAGGACAGGGCTTGGAGCAATCTGGTCTAGTGGAAGGTGTTCCTGCCCGTGGCAGAGGGTTGGAACTGGATGAGCTTTAAGGTCCTTTTTAATCCAAACCAGTCTGTGATTCTATGATTCTGTGAACATGTGCACCTGAACTGCTGAAGATATCATGTGATTTTATGAGGAGAGATTCCACATAAGCATAGCTGTTGGACTTCTAAAACTAGACACAGAAGTGTTGAAAGTGTGTGTTGGTTTTGGGGAATGAGGGGGAGTTCTGGCTTTAATTCTAAAAATTTATAACTAAAATAGCTCTGCTGAGCATGTGCAGGTGCTAGGGGGTTTGTAGTGGTATTGCAAAGAAGATACTTTTCATATGTCTGGTGTTTGCAAGTGCCAGATGAAGGCGTGGGCAGAAATGTTATGTGCCATTTTGTGCAGAATTCAGAAAGCGATTAAACAAAGTTTTAAAATAAAAGCAGAGGTGTAACCTTACTCTCTGTCTTGCCTTTTTTGTTAATTTTCAGCTTTCATGTTGTTTCATCAAGTGTTCTGTATATTGCATAAGCTTTTGAGGCAATGAATTGTTCAATATTGAGGAATAGGTGATACTCTGCACTTGAAGCTCAAACTGCATATTTGGTTTTCTGATAAAGATTGCAAAATGCATGTATATGATGCACACGGAAGCTCTGAACATGAGAGGAAAAGTGAATGTGTGAAATAAGTCAATATCAGATTTAATGAAATTCACATTTTTCTTTTTCTTGGGTAGTGCATTATGTTATCTGATCTGGTATGGTTCTCCTTGCAGAGGAAGAGAGGAAGACAATTCATGGAAGTAAAGCTGACTCCTTAAGGAAAATATTTTATACTTCTGAGTTACCAAACAGAAATAAACAGGATGGCTCACCTGGAAGAAGCAAGAAAATCGGAGTGTCTCTTCCACCACAGCTGCCAAATGAGAATGAGGTAATGAGTTAACATTTATCCATGTGGACAAGCACCACATTCAAACAGATGGAAATATGTGGAGATATACTGTCCAAATGTTAGAGGCTAGTGGTATTTATCCCATTTGATGCAAATATTTAAAATACTACCTTGGTGTGTAATGCTTACAGAGACACCTGCAGGGTTCACATTTGGCTGTGGCATTTGCTCTACTGAAGAGCTGCCATAATCTGACTAATAAATAAGGCACCCTGCAAGGACCTTTGCAATGCTTTCACTGAAGACTACAGTTAATGGTAGGGGTTGGCAAAAAGGGAAAGATGTCGAGTGTATGAATGTCAGCATGCACAGATTTATTTTGAGTTTTGGGGATTTTAGCAAGTCCGGAGTTCTGTGTTACCGAAGCTAGATTGCTTCAGCTACCTAAAGTAAACAGTAGGCAAGCCAGAGCAATTTTTAATCTTCTGAAACGTATGAGATTAGGGATTTAAAGCGTAGGGTCGGGAAAACAACAGACATATCTGGAGAGAGCAAGATGGAAACCTTTGTCCACTTGTTAAGGACTTCTGATGTCCTACCTGAATGACAAATAGCTAAGCTGTAATCCAGCCTGTACTCAAAAATTCCCTTCATTAAACTTTTTATTAAAAAAGTAATAGCTCATTTTGTGCAATACACAGTGCAATATACTTAAGTGCCTTCAAGTGATGGGCCTGCCAGGCCTCAGTCAAAGAGCACAACCTGTCATTGTCCTCCCTACTAGCATGTGCCTTTGAGGTGGAGTCAAGCAAGGCTTTTAAAACAATCACACTCTGCCAATTGATTGTATAATAATAATGTCAAGAATCTTTTTGCCATTCTTCTCATGAAGAATATGGTTGCCTGATTAGGATAGACTACCTTAGGGTCTCTTACTTCAGCCCTTTTGAATTGTCTTTCTGCCCCATAAAGCAATGTGCAACTTCCATTATCCTTTATATACTGAAACATCTTAATACTTTGTCTTTGTTGCTAAAGAAAAAAAAGTTTCAGGCATGGCTGCACATTTTTGTCACATTAGCAGTTTAAGAAACAAATACAGTAATAGTAGAATAAATCAGAAAAATTGCTAGCAGGAGGAGGCTGTAATGCAGTAAGTTGGCCACTGTAACCTTTAAGCCTGCCCTGAGGAAAGGGGGAAAAAACCTGCTATTGAAAACAATGATTCTGTTCTAAATACTGCTTTTTACGTGTATTATGATTTCTCACACTGTTGTACCAAATGATTCAGTCTAGTCCTGTGTATGACTTAAGAGGGTTCCCTGCATCTGTTCTATTTTCAGTAGCATTGCATTTAATTAAAAAAATAAGTACACTGTAAAGGATCTGTATATATTAATGTAGGAGCTTTGACTGTGGTTTAGTTTTGTTTCACCTATCCATCTACAGACAGTGATGAGCAAGAACTGGAGAGCTGGTGGTCGTGACGAAAATGATCTCAGATTGTCTGAAAGAGTGAAGATTAGGTTTTCTTTGTTTTTCTTCAAAGTGGGGATGATGAGCCTGATTTTCGCTATATTCATTGACAAAGTATTTGCAATTCTTTGATGTATTTCTTTCCCACCTGTGGGAAAGAAGGATGAATGCATCACCATCCAATTTTTTTCTTTCCCCCAATGTTAATGATTGTGTGAAGGTTATGTAAGTGTGGATGAGAATGATGTCAAATCAATTTGTAAAATTATCTAAGAGCATCTCTAATCCATGGAAACACAGAAGACTACCCAGTGCATGTAGTAAATCTTCCATGGTAAGAATATGTGCACACAGGCAGGGAAAGGTCTTTGACTGCCACCTTGCGCATCAATTCAGACTGCTACCTGAAATAAGAAACATAGAATCGGAATCACAGGCTGGTTTGAATTGAAAGGGACCCTAAAGCTCGTTCAGTTTCAACTCCCTGCCACGGGCAGGGACACCTTCCACTAGAGCAGGTTGCTCCAAGCCGCTGTGTCCAAGCTGGCCTTGAACACTGCCAGGGATGGGGCAGCCACAGCTTCTCTGGGCAACCTGTGCCAGCGCCTCAGCACCCTCACAGGGAAGAGCTTCTGCCTAAGAGCTCATCTCAATCTCCCCTCTGTCAGGTTAAAGCCATTACCCCTTGTCGTGTCCCTACAGGCCGTTGTCCAAAGTCCCTCTCCAGGTTTCTTGTAGCCCCTTTAGGCACTGGGAGCTGCTCTAAGGTCTCCCCTTAAGGAGCCTTCTCTTCTCCAGGCTGAACAAGCCCAGCTCTCTCAGCCTGGCTCCAGAGCAGAGCTGCTCCAGCCCTCCCAGCGTCTCTGTGGCCTCCTCTGGACTTGCTCTAAAACCTCCACATCCCTCTTGTGTTGGGAACCCCAGAGCTAGGTGCAGTCTTGTGGTACATTTTAGATAGGTTAGACCATTTTCAAGGGAAAAAACCAGTGGTGCAGTGTCCCAGATGAAATATCAAAAATGTAATAATTCTTAGCTTTTTGGTTTTCCATTCTGTTCACCACTAGTAGCAAAAGCTTTTCGTTGCCTGCAGCATGTATTATCTCTGTGCCATATGCAGTGAGCTTGCAAAACTGCAGAGTAACTTGTCATATATATTTTATTTCTCCACCTTCCCACTAAGTTCCTGAAAAAGTTTCTGTACAGCTTCAGCTTCTTTCCCATTACAGTAGTTGATATGCAGCAATTTTGGCAGCAGTTCTTGGCTTACAGGTAAAGTTATTTCCTTTGGGTTACACATTTCAAAGAAAATTCATATGCTTTCTTGGAAATATGCAGGGGAGAATGGAGAAGATGAAGCGTACAATGTACTGCTTTTTTGCTTTGCTTTAGATTATATTATGAAATTAATACATTACTCTATTTTTTTTTTTTTTTTTTTTTTGT